AAAATTGACATAACTACCATACAAGAAATGAGGTGGATTGGAAACAATATTATGGAAAAAAAGAGCCATACCATTTTCTACAGCTGCGCTCCTAAAGATCACATTTTGGGCACTGGATTCATAGTTAACAAGAGAGTAAGACATATAATAAAAGACTTCAGAGCCATCAGTCCCAGAATATGTATTTTAAGAATTAAAGGACGTTTCTTCAACTACAGCCTAATTAATGCGCATGCCCCCACAGAAGAAAAAGAAGAGGAAGTCAAAGAAGAGTTTTATGATGAATTAGAGTCCGCATACCAGTCATGCCCAAAAAGTGATATAAAAATAATTTATGGAGACTTAAACGCAAAAGTTGGAAGAGAGCAGCAATTCCAACCCACAATAGGTAAGCACAGTCTCCATGAGCAATCAAATGACAATGGCAATAGGTTGGTAAACCTAGCAAGATCACTTAACATGGTGATTGCCAGCACATACTTCGCTCGAAAAAATATACACAAAGGCACCTGGAAATCACCAGACGGACTTACAGTGAATATGATAGATCATGTTATTGTAGACTCAAAACACCAATCGAATATACTAAACGTCCGTACCAGAAGATGGGCAAATGCGGATACTGATCACTACCTGGTCGAAAGTGGGATAAGGGCTAGAATTTCAAACATCAAAAAGGAAAGAGGCTCTAAACATGAACGATACAATATAGAAGGACTCAAAGAAACAAACAAAAATAGAGAGTACAAAGAAAATATTAGCATCAAACTAGAAAACAGACTAAAACATGAAAACCTAAATGAGGAGTGGGAAGAGTGCAGAGAAATCATAAAAGAAACAGCTAAAGAGGTGTTGGGCATGGAAGGTAAAGAAAGAAGAACAAGAACGAATCACTGGTTTGACGAAGAATGTCAAACTATAACAGAAAGAAAAAACAGAGCATATCTACAGATGCAACAGAGGCACAGAACCCGACAAGCAGAGAAAGAATATAAACAACTACGTAAAGAAGAAAAGAAAATTCACCGAAGAAAGAAGAGAGAATATATCAACAAAGAACTTCAAGAACTACAAGAACTAAGTAAACCAACAGAGACAAGAAAATTTTACCAGAAACTCAACAAAAGCAGAAAAGAGTTCAAACCGAGAACAACGATGTGTAAAGATAAGGAGGGTAATATATTGACAGAACAGCAAGAGATACTTAGAAGATGGACAGAACATTTTAAGGAAAAGCTTGGGGTGAATAGGACGGAGATGAACCCTGATATACCGTTAGACCAAGCAGACAACAGAGAAAAGAGTCCACCAACAATAGCAGAGATTAGAACAGCAGTGGACAAATTAAAGAACAATAAATCACCGGGATCGGATCAAATATCATCGGAGCTACTTATATAAATAAAAAATTGTAGAATTCATAACATAATATAATAAAAATGTACTTTTCTAAAGCTTTATCTTTTTATATTTGAAGTATGCAGCATCTACATTATGAAAACATGCCAACACTGCTATACCTAAATTTTTTGTTCCATGTTTAACATTTGCGGCTATAATTATGTACTTTCGATAAACTCAACCGTTTAGTAATTTTTTAATTCAACCTATGATACTAGTAATACAGATTATCAAACTATAAACTCTTATAATAGTTTTTGTGTTGAAATTTGTGATATTACTGTATTAGATGTATTTGAATTTATATCTAAGATTGATCTAAAAGTAAGGGCCTGATAATATATCCCCTTTGTTTATACTTAATAACTGTAGATTTATTCTGAGTTAGTTAATCATTGAGCTCAGGTGTCTTTCCAGAGATATGGAAGAGAAGTTATATTACCCCAGTCCATAAAGGTGGTAATAGAGAAAGTAATGAAAACTATTGAGCTATATCTAAAATTTCAGTTTTCGCTAAATCTTTTGAAGGGATTGTAGCTGCAAAACTTGGTCCATTATTGAATCCTACTTTAATGCCTGACCAACATGGTTTTATTCCACGACGTTCTACCACTACCAATACAAGAATTTTTGTTGGATACTCTTGAAGGGTATGACCAGGTTGATGTCATTTACGTCAACTTTTCGAAGGCATTCGATAGAGTTAATCATACTTTCCTAATCTCTAAACTGTATAATGCTGGTTTACATGAAAGATCATTAGACTTGATGGAGAGCTATCTCACAGATAGAACAAGTTTTAAAAATTAACCAATTTTTGTCATCTACTATCAATGTAACTGATGCTTCACAGGGTGTACATTTATCTCCTCTGCTTTTTAATTGTTTTATAAATAATATAAAAAATTGTTTTTATCATAGTAATATTCTTCTCTATGCTGATGATTCTAAATCATCTAAAAATTTATTCATAAAAAATTTCAATGACTAGATTATTACAGAATGATTTAAGTAGATTATTGGATTGGCGTAACTTAAATAATTTGAATTTGAACATAAATAAATGTAAGGTAATGCGGTGAATATTGATATTTTTAAGTTATTTGTTTATAGTCCAGGCGGTGAGGCCATTCCCGTTGGGAAAATGTTTCTGATTCGGTTTCTTCGCGGATTCCGGTTCAAAAATGTCCCCTTTAAACAAATCTGAAGGGTGCCGGGCAAAATTTTTGGGCAGAAATTGTTTAAACAATTTTTTTTAAACAAATTCCAAAAATATTTTTTTTAATCTTGAAAACGTTTTTTTAGGTTTTTGGGTCATTTTAAACAAAAAAGGTCTCTTGTCATTTTTCTCTAAAGTTGATAGTTTTCGAGTTATAAGCGATTTAAAGTCTGAAAAACGCGAAAATACGCATTTTTGAGGCTTGAAAACACATATGTAAATTATTATTTTTGAGGTTACCAAGTGTCTAAATAGAAGTTTAAACATTCAACTTCAAGATTGTGAAGAGTAATCGGGGCTTATTTTAATTGAGACCGTTGTTTTTTAATTGTTAAATATGCGCGTACACTCGATTTTTCAGCCGCCGCGGCGCGCTATAGTGCGCTTCTATCGTCCTTATGCATAGTTTACATATACACTTACGCAAAAAAACCGGAACAAATCCTTGAAGTTTATTAACATAGTTTTTTCCATAATTTATTTATGTAGGTATTAATTATTGTCATTGGGCTAATTAAATAAATCAATCATCGCAATGTACTAACCGTATATAGTTTTTTTTTCTTCCAAATTTGAACAATATAATTATTATTTATTGAGTATATATTTATTTATATCAATTGTAAATAATATTTTTAAATTATTATTTAAATAATACAATGCAGTAAATATTAATATTAGTAAACTTAATTTTAAATTGCGCGGTGTTTAAAAACAATATACTATCGCAAAAATGCAAGTTTTTACCTGTTTAACAATCGCGCGCTCATACTTGATTTGTTACTACTTAAACGATCATTAGGAAGACTATTGTTTAATGCCCAGTAAAAGGGTATTATATTATAATTGTGTTATTAAAAAAATTGTGAATGGATTTAAAAAGTCTTTTTCCGTACCTCTTCTTAAATGATAACTTACCGAAGAAAATTTAGTTAGTATTTTTTGTAATAACATCAACAATATTAAGTTAGTGCAAAACCCTAAAGTAGATTTTTACATAACAATACAAAATGCTGCTCTTCGACGAAAAGACAGTGTGACTGAAAAATTTAATTTAATCTAGCCAATATACCTTGTACCTCTGACGCACTTTACCAACACTTGTTAAGAGCTTTCGCTAAAACATATATTTGGCGAAATGCCATATATTCCCGCTATCAAACTCTCGATTTTACACAATATGGATATTATATGTCTGATAGTGGTTTGTTGGGAAACCGTGCAAATGCAAAAAGACTTGCAAAACTAATGCTTGCAACTGCAAGAAAAATCATGTCAACTGTGTACCATTATGTGGATGTGATTTAGATTTTTGTGAAAACAAAGATACTTTTACTGAGTGATATTAGTGTGTTATTTAACAATCTTGTACAATTATTTTATGTAACTATTATTAGACTTTAGACGAAATTTATATTATAATTCAATTGATATAAATAAATATATACTCAATAAATAATAATTATTTGTAAGTATATGTAAACTATGCATAAGTACGATAGAGGGGCACGGTAGCGCGCGGCGCCGGGGCGGCTCAAAAATCGAGTGTACGCGCATACTTAACAATTAAAAAACAACGGTATAAATTAAAATAAGCCCCGATTACTCTTCACAATCTTGAAGTTGAATGTTTAAACTTTAATTTAGAGACTTGGTAACCTCAAAAATAATAATTTACATATATGTTTTCAAGCCTCAAAAATGCGTATTTTCGCGTTTTTCAGACTTTAAATCGCTTATAACTCGAAAACTATCAACTTTAGAGAAAAATGACAAGAGACTTTTTTTGTTTAAAATGGCCCAAAAAAACCTAAAAAAACGTTTTCCAGGTTAAAAAAAAATTATTTTTGGACTTTGTTTAAAAAAATTGTAAACAATTGCTGCCCAAAAATTTCGCCCGGCACCCTTCAGATTTGTTTAAAGGGGACATTTTTGAACCGGAATCCGCGAAGAAACCGAATCAGAAACATTTTCCCAACGGGAGCGGCCTCACAGCCTGGACTATTATACGTGTAATAATTTTTTTAAGGAGTTTTAACATTTTATTTAATTGTAGTGAACAAATTTTAATTTCATTATTTTTTTTTTAATTTGAATTATATATTTATAATAAAAATTTAATTAATAATTTGACATATATAATTAAAATTATCCAGATATATTTATGAATCATAAAACTCAATAAACTTTTTTGTTTGTTGAGTTTGTTGGTAAATTATATTCAAATTCAGTAAAATAGAAAGTTTATTTAATTTTCTAATAGATTTCAAAATCATGATAATGAATATGTAGTTTGACAAAAGAAAAATTGCCGATATATGTATGTACATACTTGTACATACATATGTATATACATACAAAAATATTACAAAATACTTACTCTGCTATTTTCATCTTAATCTTTAAGGTGTTATGGTACTGGCCTAACTCTATCAGAGCTCCTGACAAATCATGGCACTTTTTCAATTTTTCAAACCTTCTGTGTAAAGCTTCTTCATCTCTGGCATGGTAACTGCCTGTTGGAAGCACCCCTTTCGTCAACCAATCTTGATCGTGGTAGTACTTCCTGGAAAGTCGTTCCCGAAGAGGATTCTGACAGATATAGCACACGTATTTTTCTGGAACTTGACTTTCTCTTTCGATGTTATTGCAATAAGCGTGCTGCCAACAAAGACAGAGCTCGCACTGGATCATAAGACCGTCTTCTTCGACTAAACCGCAGGTGCAGTTGATGATCTCTTCTTGCTTCATTCTGACGATCTTAATCACTTCACCGCCTTCAATTATAATATCATTAGAAGGAGTAGGAGGTTGGATGGGTGGAGTGAGAATGGTAGGAGCTACAGGAGAAGAAACTGCTTGTGAAGAAATTTTAGGCGGCAAAGATAAAGATGGCGTTGTGATACTAACGGTAGGCGAAGAAGCAGTAATAGGCAATATACTAGGGAAAGATGTCAGATCTGTAGTTTGATCTATACCTTTAACGACCTCTAGGCTGTCTGGGTAAACGCTTTTACGTTTCACCGGCGGCCTGTACTCCTCAGGTGGCTGTTCAACTGGAAAAATTATTTTATTATTATCAAGTTATAACAAAAAATATTTGGCAAATTATTGCAGACAAAACACAAAACTGTGATCAGACAGTAAATTTCCGCAAAAACAACAACTACCTGAAAGGCCCATTCAGAAAATAATAAAAAAATTTTTAATCATGAATGTGTTGCTTGTGTGACTCAAATAGGTAAAGAAATAATAAATAAGACTTACTCACAATCAATTTCATTTAACTATCAGATGACCGGTTTCGCTTTCTACAATATGCAAAGCATCTTCAAGTTAACTTTGTATCGAGACCTGAAGATGCTTTGCATATTGTAGAAAGCGAAACCGGTCGTCTGATAGTTAAATTAAATTGATTGTGAGTAAGTCTTATTTATTATTTCTTTACCTATTAAAAAAAAATTAATTTAAAGAACTGGTGATAATAATCAAAATATCCCATTTAGTAGCAGAATATACAGGAATAACATTAATCATAGGAATAGCATAGAAAGAAATACAACAAAAATGATAATTATGGTGAGTTGGAGATTATAATGAAAGAGTAGAGTTAAAAGTTTGGATGAATGTAACTAGTTTAAGTTTTGCAGATGGTAGATACCATGGGCGTATAAACATAGATGGACACAGCAATAAGATACCTTTAACACACAATGTTTTGAAGCTTCGATAGAATGTGATGCTTCCGCAATGAGCATAAGCGTGCTTGAATTTTTACTAGTATGTTTTAGTATAGTCTTTTAAATTTGCTACCCAAATAGTTCAATCGTCAATATTATTTGGAAACCTACATAGAAAAATAAATGAGTTTTCTTCATTTCACTAATTTATTTGTATCCATGAGAAATAATAAATTAAAAAGGTACTAAACAGATCTTTTTTAATCAGATGATGTCTACTTACAATTTAAAAATGTCTACTAATTTCATGAACTCATATCTTATTCAATACATTAATGAACATGAATAAACTCAATGGTAGGCCTATTAAAATGTAAACAAACACGCTTTCTCATTTCCTCATCTTAAATAATGTATATTGTATTTACTTACAAATGAAATGAGAGATCGGGTGTAAATATTTCGTTTATTTTATTTCACTTTTCACAAATATCACCCAAAATACAGCCAAAATATCGAAAAACAGTTTTTCCTCATCTACTGTAAAAAGTAAATAAACATGGAACAGCATTTGAAGTTTGACGTAGATCCATAAGACAGAGAAATGTAAACAACCGTTGCCATTCATAAATAGTTTTCAGTGCTTCTACATATAAAATAATTGATTGATATCTATTATACGCTATTATTAAATGATAAGGCAAACTATGTGCACACTTGATATTTTGATTACAATTAAATATATTAATCTAACCAATAAATTATTATTTTGGTTTGATAGCACCTGTAGAGTATAAAATACGGAGTAATATTTTCAGCGACTCGCGAATAAGAAATTTTAAAACAAAACGTGACAACAGTTGAAGGTACCGAGAATGTGACCTATTCAAATAATTTTGACTACACAATTTTATGTAAATAACTGAGTCCATCTGTGTTTATACGTCCATTGTAGATACAAACGTTGATAACCAATTTCGTGGAAATAACTATATTTATATAATGACTCTAAATGATGTTTTGATAAAATATATTAAAAAAAACATATGCAAAATGAAATAAAAGTATTTTTAACAAGGATCCAACTTAATATGTGATAATATTACTTCTTCTTCCTCAAGTTCTATCTTTTATCAAACGTTGGACCTTTTATTTCCGCTTCATTTCCTATCATTCTAGTTACTTTCACGTTTGACACTCTTTGAATCCATGATATTCGTATGATTATTTTGTAACACCAGAATTCAAAGAGGGTCACCTATTTATATGCACTTATTTTGGTGTCCACGCTTCCAAGTCATAAAGAAGAGTAGACAACACGTAACACCGAGCATCCGTAGGCGAAGAATTATATTATATTCTGACAGCACAGAAACCTTTTAAGTTTCACAAATGTTGTACATGCTATTTCAATACGTGTCTTGATTTCTTTGGTTTGGCCTAGATTTGATGTAATTCCCAAGTACAGTGGTGTTAAAAAGTCCTGCATCACCTAAGCGCCTTATAGTTTTTGAGGTCTCAAAATTCTACAGAAAATATTAAAATAATCTTATTGAAGAGATTTCCCATAATCCGAGAAAATTATGAGGTGATTATTAAGTCGTTAAAGTCCTATTAAATTGAATGTTAATGACAAATTTGCCACATATTTTGACTATATAAACACTGTAGTTACCCTAAAACATTTATTCGCTCTTTGATTTTTGATAAAACGGTCAAAATGTCATCCCCGACCAAACAAACTAAATTATCGGACGAAAAGCGTTTTGAAATTATTTTTCACCATAAAAACGACAAATCTAGTCGCGAAATAGCATCCGCAGTAAACTGTAATCAATCTACAGTAATAAGAGTCATTAAGAAATATGATGAACAAGGAAAAATCGACGACAGACCGCGTAGTAGCCGACCAAAGAAAACTTCTGTTCGGGATGACGCTGCGTTAAGAAGAACAAGTCTGGCAGACAGACGCCTTAATTCCACCCAATTAAGGAAGCTGTGGTCTGGACCTACAGGTGTAAGCGAGTGCACTTCCACTTTGAGAAAAAGACTGCTTAGTTTTGGACTTAGAGGATGTAAGGCGCGGAAGAAACCACTGCTTTCAAAAAAGCAAAGATTGCACCGTTTGAAATGGGCCAAGGAACATCGAATCTGGACAGCAGAGCAGTGGTAGAGTGCACTGTTTAGTGATGAATCCACTTTCAATATTAATAATCATGCTGGAAATGCCTACGTCAGATTTCCAGGTGAAGAACTTTCTCCAAAATGTGTTCTTCCCACAATTGAACATCCAACCTCCGTTATGATATGGAGTAGTATGTCCGCTCGAGGAGTTGGTCGCCTACACGTTGTCTCTGGGATGATGAATGCTACCAAATACATTGAGGTACTACGGAATAAGATGCTGCGTAGTGGAAAAGACCTGTTTGGCGAAGAAAAATTTATTGTTCAGAATGATAATACTCCTTGCCTAAGAGCAAAATTGGTTAAACCTTAGATGGAGAGTAATGAAATTGATAGGATGGACTGGCCAGCGCGATCCCCGGACCTCAACCCCATCGAGAATTTGTGGCAAAGAATATCAAACATCATATTCAAAAGCAAACATAAATAAATTTCGACAAATAAAACAAAATTAATCGAATCTCTAATCCACGCTTGGCATCACTGTATTTCCATGGAGGAACTGAAAAAATTAACAAATTCCTTGCGCAAAAGATGTGAACTAGTTATTAAAAACAAGGGCTGGGCAATTAAATATTAAAATTTGTTTAAATTACTTTAATGTGATGTACAATATGGTCTTGATGTAAATAGCCTAATTTTTGTAATATTGAATAAAAAAAATTTACCAAACTACATTTTTTTTATTAATCAAAATTTTTTCTGTGTTTCCATTTTATAATATTGTGTTTAAGTGTTTGTTTGATGTAGATAGTAAATGGTTAAAAAATATTTAAAGTAAATGCCATAAACTTCTATTTTCATGTATTTGGTAAGGTGATGCAAGACTTTTTAACACCCCCGTATTTCTAGGTATCCACAATCTTAATTACAATAGGTTTGTTCTAGCATCAGTTTCAAATGGTTTGAAACCATCAGCGAATAGTGGACCAGTGCGAGTAGAGGGGATATAGCACTGGTGACTGTATTATTTTCTCTCGCTGACCAACTGTTTGCTGACGGTTTCTGACTAGTTTGTCTGTTTGCTAGAACAAACCTAATATCTTCAATAACCAGTTCGATGTGTGCATCTGCTGATTTATTTATGATCATGCACTTAGTTTCCTTCAAATTCATCCTAAGCCCATATTCATAACAGCATACATTAAGGTGTTGCATTACATACATTTATAAATCATTATTGTTATCCGTCCCTATTACTGTATCATCTGCAAACCGTAAGTTATTCAAAATTTCTTCATTGGTAGATATACCCTCTATTGAATCTGAGACCGCTTCTTTACATATAATACCGATTCACTGTAGACATTGAAGAGTAGCGAGGACAGCACACAACCCTTGCAGACTCCCCTCTATATTATAATCTCGCAGGTATTCTGATTGTCAACTCTTACCTTGGCAGTTTGATTCCAATCTAGATTAGATATAATTTTTATATCATGACTCAATATTTTTTCTAGCAAGCTTTTTATGGTGAACCTTATCAAATGACTGTTCAAGGTATGTAAAACTAGCTATGTAAAGTAACTGTCCTGAATTATGTGCATGCATCTCTGGGTCAGCAAAATCAAGCCGAACAAACCATATCTTGCGGCCATACCACTTTTAAACCCAAATTCATATTCAAGAGTTTAAACAATCTTTAAAGTAACTGACTAATTGAAGCTACTGTTCTATGATCTGAGTAGGTTGCTGCACTTGACTTTTTGGGAATTGCTACAAAGGCGATTGCAGCCATTCTGCGTATATTAGATTAAAGAGTTCAGCCATTATCAAATCCGACATCTGAGAGGACAAAAAGATATGACAAGAAGTAGAAGAAGAAGAGTTCAACCATTATATCAATAACATATTCATCAATTAGTTTTAAAAATTCAATGGGCACATTATCTGGTCAAGTGCTTTGTCGTTTTAGTAGCATACATGACTTCTTCTCGTAGTATTGAGAGTCCAGTATCTTCTGTGGCTTCCAATGAGATTTCTCCTCATTCATCATTAAATAGTTGTTGGATATAATTGGTCCATTGACGTAATTTCTTCATCATTTCAGTAATTATATCGCCTAACATTTTTAAATATCTTCTATGCCGTCTAATGAAAGTTCTCCTTCAACATTAGATATTTGTTGGAGGTAATTGGTCCATTGAAGTAATCTCTTCATCGTATTTATATTCCCTTTGTAATTTTTAAGGATATTCGTTATTGTGCTATTTCTAGATCCAGCCATTTCTTTGATATTTTATGTAAATTAAAGCTATCATACTTTTTATCCAGATCTTTTATTTCCATGCATCTGTTAGAGAACCGCATCTCTTTTGCCTCTAAATTTTTTTCTGATATTTCCCTGAATTTGTTTGAATTCATTCAGGTCTTTTGCTTTATGTTTTCTTCGTTTTTCAATAAGCTCAAGAATTTCTAGTGTTGTCCAACGTTTATTTTTTTCTATCAGTGATTTAAGTATTTCTTCTCCAACTGACAAATGCATGTCAGCATAATTTGTTTTAACGGAATAATAAATTGTTTTTACATAGTTAATTTGCACAGCCCGATTGTACATTTTTCAATTATGATTTTCCTATTATTTTGGCTGCCCTTCCGACTGAAGACAATTTGGTTAAGGGTCCTCCAATGGATTGCGATCTAAATATTCTTGGATTTTTTATACCAGCTTGTTTTACTATAACTCGACATGCTTAATTTTTATGACAATCGTAAACTATACATCCAATCTTGCGGGCATGTTATTCCGGTATATTCGTGGTTATTCTTATTGTTACGCCAGCCCTTGCTACACCTCTGATCGAACATCAGTTCGGCGTTCGATGAGCTGCGGCTGTCGACAGAATCCGACTCCGTTCTGAAACTGGTTCGAAAAGATTGGTGAAGTATATATATATAACAGAGATTACAATTCAAATACGGCAGACTAAATATAAATTTGTACAGTTAAATAAATAAATGTTGTAAATATCATAATTAGGTTTTAGTGTTAGTAAACTTTAAGTAAATTAAAATAAATATTACATTGGTGTCAGAATTGGGATATTTAAATAAATTGTGGGAGAAATACCACATCTCTTTTGCCTCTAAATTTTTTTCTGATATTTCCCTGAATTTGGTTGAATTTATTTAGGTCTTTTGCTTTATGTTTTCTTCGTTTTTCAATAAGCTCAAGAATTTCTAGTGTTGTCCAACGTTTATTTATTCTATCAGTGGTTTAAGGATTTCTTCTCCAACTGACAAATGCATGTCAGCATAATTTGTTTTAACGGAATAATAAATTGTTTTTACATAGTGAATTTGCAGAACCCGATTGTACATTTTTTAATTATGATTTTCCTATTATTTTGGCTGCCCTTCCGACTGAAGACAATTTGGTTAAGGGTCCTCCAATGGATTGTGATCTAAATATTCTTGGATTTTTTATACCAGCTTGTTTTACTATAACTCGACATGCTTAATTTTTATGACAATCGTAAACTATACATCCAATCTTGCGGGCATGTTATTCCGGTATATTTGTGGTTATTCTTATTGTTACGCCAGCCCTTGCTACACCTCTGATCGAACATCAGTTCGGCGTTCGATGAGCTGCGGCTGTCGACAGAATCCGACTCCGTTCTGAAACTGGTTCGAAAAGATTGGTGAAGTATGTATATATAACAGAGATTACAATTCAAATACGGCAGACTAAATATAAATTTGTACAGTTAAATAAATAAATGTTGTAAATATCATAATTAGGTTTTAGTGTTAGTAAACTTTAAGTAAATTAAAATAAATATTACATTGGTGTCAGAATTGGGATATTTAAATAAATTGTGGGAGAAATGGCTACGAAACTTAGCGAATTAAAAGTGATTGATTTACACAGGAAACTGGAAAAGATAAAGAACTAAATTCTGTAGGGGAAAAGCTAAATTCGTACAATGGCTAAAGTTCGCCCTGAAAGAAGGTCTTGATCTTGAAACGCATGTGTTTCAGGACAGGAATGCTGCTGATATTTCCAAAGTTTGCCCTCGTTGGGAAACATAGTAAAGATATTTCGTATTTTGAAGAAAAAATAAGAGCGATTGAAAATAAGATGGAGAAACAGCGACAGTAGATAGAGGAATTCGGTTAATTACACTAGAGATAAAAGACGACGAGACGAAATGTTAGTTGGAGCCACGCCAACATTTGAAAAGAATGGAGATTATGTTCGTGTTAAAGTCCCAACTTCCGGCGGAAAATCGTCATGGAATAACTAAATGAATCAGTTAGATTCATCTGCAACAGCGAATAGGATGGCCCAAAAAAGGCTGTAAACCTTTGCAGATGCAGATATGTTTTGGATGTGCTTCAACTCATAGCCATGAGGAGACAGATGATTTCGAACAAATTAAGAAAAGACTAAACATGCGATATGGTCACGAAAACTTGGAGAATGTCTACTAGTCGCAGTTTAAAAATCGAAGATAAAAGCAAGATGAGACTCTTCAAGAATATGAGGTAGATATTGTCAGGTTAGTGAGATATGCTTATATAATAGCTAAGATATGAAAAGTTGGCTGTTCAAACATTTATTGATAGTTCTCGTGATCATGAAATGCAGAGAAGACTGAGATTATCATTGCACAAGACGCTGGTTGATGTCTTGTCCGCCACTCTCGAATATGAAAGAGCTACACAGGCCTCTGGCGGGAAGATGAAGACAAACTTGACCAGCTTGTTAATATGATGAAAGACATTGCATCTAAGCTAAAAGACCATAAGCTGCTGTAATTATGGTGAAATGGGACACTAACGAAGTTCAAGTAAGCCTAGGTACAACATAATAAAAAAGCTCGTCAGCAGGAAATACTAGAACGGGTAGGCGTTAGGGGAGCAGCTTCGACCCGGAATTTTTCCAAAGACCATCCAATACTAAGAGCTTCTTTAAAATGTCGTGAAGATAGTGTATACGTAGATGAAGAAATAAATGGTAAAAAATATACCTTGTTGGTAGATACCGGAGTGACTAGGATCATTATAAGCCCGACAGTTATAACCAGTCTTAAGAAACTTTAACCAACGAGGTTTCGACTACTGACTGCCATAGGTGAAAATGCCAACATTCATGAAGAAATTGAGATCCAATTAGGAATTGGGGCAGAAAAGTTCGTCCATACTGTGATAGTTGCGGACATCGAAGAGGATGTTATATTAGGAATGGACTTAAAGTATTTGCATGAATTTCAACAATAATGGACTTTCATTCAATTCGATTTTAAGAATAGGGTAAGCAAAGTTGGTAACCGGGAGGTAATTTTCATTTAAAAGATGACAGCATTGTGCAATCAGCCGGTAAATAAGATACGGTTGTGCCTGCGAGAAGTGAAACGATCATAGTAGCGCGGCTAAAGGAATTGTGGAAGAAGGAACACCTGTTATGATGGTGCCTTGGAACCACGACGAGGAAGGTGGACGATGAATTATAATTGAAAAAGGAATTGGTTACTTCTGCTAAAAAGATTCCTGTAATCCTTATTAATGACAATTACTACCCAGTAACCATCAAGAAATAGCCAAAAGTTAAAACCTCTGTACCATTGACATCCAGAACTCGTCAGACTACATCTGATAATTCCAACGACAAATTAGACCAAATGAGTGCAGTTGCTGTCCAGTCTCTAAATCAGTATGAGAAACTGAAATTAAGACAATTTCTTAATATCGTGACATCTTCGTATCTAAAGGAGGAAAGACAGGAAGAACTACCGTTGTCAAATGTAAAATCGATACTGGTAATACTAAATCAATTCGTTAAACAGCTCGACGATTACCAGAGGCGAAGAGAGAGGAAGTTGAAAGAATTATTCGGGAAATGAAGTAGGACGGGGTAATAGAACCTTCTACCAGCCCATGGGTCTCTCCGGTGGTCCTGGTCAAAAAGGAAGACAAAACTACAAGTTTCTGTATGGACTACCGTTTGCCAAACAATGTTCAACAATACTGTCTCATTACTTTTTAATATTTGATATATACGACAAGGATGAGTACTGTCTCCTTTACTTTTAGCAGACGTAAATAAATGCATATCAATTAACAGAATACTAGTGAATAATCTCAGATATACAGATAATAGCATAGTCAGAGTATCAGTACTAGCCGCCTCAATTGAGATGGCCAGAAGCACCTTCAATAAGATAAGAGCAGTATTCTGCAATGAAAATCCAGGAATAGAAATTAAACTAAAGCATTGAGATGGTACATTTTTTCTGTTCTGTTCTCAAAGTTAAATCCTGGACAATAACGGATTCAATTGAAAAATTAGAAAAAGACTTGCTAGCTTTGATATTGTGGTTTTGTTGAAGGATGTAGAAAATATCATGAACATAACAAGTAACAAACACGAAAACCCTACGAAAGATGAAAAAAGAAAAATAAATACTCAACACTATGAAGGAAATAAAAATGAGCTACTTTGATCACATACTAAGAAATGAAAAATATGAGTTGATGCAATTGGTTATACAAGGGAAGGTGGAAGCAAAAAGATGATTAGGGAGACGACACACGTCCGGGTTGAACAAATTTAACATTGGAGTGGAGAAAAAACAACAGAACTCTTCAGAACTGCTACAAACAGGATAAAATGGGCCGTGATGATAATAAATGACAAGGTCCCTAAAGGATGCGGTACACTAAAAAGAAGAATATTGACATTTGATTATTTGCACCGTCTATGCCCCAGTAAACAAAGCATAAAACACGCGACATATATTAAATGTATATTTGATACTTAACTATGCTTTTTAAAATTCAAAATAGTATGTCTGATACTTGCTTAGAAAAATACTTCAATGTTTTTTATTTAGCTAACAGCTAACAAAAAGCAAAATATTAAATTCGGTATTTAATATCACTATTATCAAATCTTACCAATCGTTGATTCAGGTGGTGGCCTATGGACAGGTAGTAAAGTCTTAATACCAGGCTTACTTTTCTGCAACGGTCTGAAAATAGGTTCTTCTTTGATAGAAATAGTTTCGGATTTAGTCAACAGATCTCTCAATCTCGGCTCGAAGTGAGGAACGGTGGGAGATTCGGGCCCCTGTTTAAGCGGCAAATCCGGCTCAGATTGACTATGAGGCTTGGTGTTGAGTAACTTGATGATTTCTTGGTCTTTGGTTTTCGAAATTGGCGATAATTTCGGTTTTACCAGAGGTTTAACTTCTGGTATTTCTTCTACTCCAAAAGCCATTTGTTTAGATGATTTCGGGGTTGAAATTTTGATAGCTGGTTTTAGTGGTGGTTTTTGAGGTCCTATAAACAGAAAGAGAGTTATAGTACAATCAGAATTTTAGACTTGAAAAAAGAAAACGAGGAACTACAAATATAAGCAATATTTCTAATTAGTTTCTTAAACGTTAACATTAAATAAATAGTCGAAACATAACAAAAAACGGGTGTGGCAGTCCAGTGGGACTGTCGGTAAAAGTTATGCTTCTATACACGCGTTCGCCGTTACAAATTTATATGCGAGTCAATCTGCACAATCATTACATATGTAATGCTATAGGTAAGAGAGAGCAGAAAGAGAAAAATAATTAGTAGTATATAGGTATATAGGTATATGGTGCATCGTTTGCTGTATATAAACATTTGACCTATAATAGGAGTATAGTATATAAAGGATTGAATCAATATTTTAATGAATATATATATATATATATATATATATATATTTATTTTCATATATGTATAAAAGGAGTTGAATGCAAATTTTTTTTTACACATACTCTGCAGTAAAATTCATTGTTTATTTTGTTATTAATATAAAAATACAATACAATACAATGCAATATAATAATACAATACAAATTAAAATGCAATATTCATAAGTATTTAAAACTGACAATATACATAGTTTACTTACGCATATGTTTAATTTACCATGATAATAATATTAATAAAAATATAATATTATTAATAAATATTAAATATATTTACAAAAGGGACATTTTTATTCTCGAGAGAGAAAAAGGGAGAAAATACATCTTCTGCCTCTTTCTTACCTATATCTTACATATGTAATGATTTTGCCGATTCACTCCCATACAAATTTCCAACGTCGAACGTGCGTATAGAACAATAACTTCAAAAAATGGTTGTGGAAGATAAAAAACCAACAACTCTAATTATGTTGTAAATTTTTACGTCTTATTCTTCTCGTGCCACTCCTAGCGGAGATTGGAAATCATCATGGCCACTGCGACTTTGTTAGCAGCGCGCCTAAAAAGTTCAATCGAACTACACCCGAACCATTCACGTAGATTACGAAGCCACGATATTTTTCTTCTTCCCACACTTCTTTTGCCCTTAATTTTACTTTTCACCTCTCACAATGTGCCCCAAGTATTCCATCTTTCTAGTTTAATTTTTTTTTATTTTATATTTTAAATTTTTACGTATATTACCTATATTTAATAAGATTAACGTGGGGTTTTTAAATATTTCAAAAATACAAAGGGAAATTCATATTGGGATTCGAACTCACATACACCAGCATATGAACAAAACACATAAAAAATTTGCCAATTAGACATGACACTAACGTATTTCAAAATTGACAGTTCTGGGTCATACCGTGATTTATTGTAATTATTATTTTGAAATACAAAAGCCTAAAATAAGTATGAACATTAAATAAATAATACAAAACATATCACATAAATAATATTAATATATATATTTATATATATATATATATATATATATACATATATATATATATATATATATATATATATATATATATATATATATATATAATATCAAATATTTTTCATTTGGTAATAATATCAGACTTCTTAACGGTAATTTTGCATTTTGTACAAATCTATTTGAAGCAACGTTATTTAAAGACATGCTGTTCAGCAGATATAGGTATTTGTAATAAAAAATCGTTGAAAATTTTACAAAATAGTGACATTACATTATTACATTATTACATCTATCATTATTACATCTATTGTGTAATATTAGGCTTTTGTATTTCAAAATAATAATTACAATAAATCACGGTATGACCCAGAACTGTCAATTTTGAAATACGTTAGTGTCATGTCTAATTGGCAAATTTTTTATGTGTTTTGTTCATATGCTGGTGTATGTGAGTTCGAATCCCAATATGAATTTCCCTTTGTATCATCTATGTAATAATGATAGATGTAATATCTATCATTATTACATTATTACATCTGCTGAACAGCATGTCTTTAAATAACGTTGCTTCAAATAGATTTGTACAAAATGCAAAATTACCGTTAAGAAGTCTGATATTATTACCAAATGAAAATGAAAAAAGATTCTGTGGAGAACGTAAAACACCTACAATTTTCAGAAATAATATCAAATATATATACAAAAGAAACATTTTTATTCTCAAGAGAGAAAGAGGGAAAATATATCTTTTGTCTCTCTCTTGCTGATATCTTACATATGTAATGATTTCACCGATTCACTCCCTTACAAATTTCCAACGTCGAGCGCGCGAATAGAAGTATAACTTCAAAAAATAATTACTGTTTAAATGGGAATAAGCCACGATTAAAGGTTAAAGTAAGTTTATTGACGTTTCAATTTCCACTTCAGATATCGTTCTCAGAATACAAACTAATGTTTGTGTTCAGATACGACCGGAGTTGAAGAAGCAACTATTTATAGACTTTTAACGCAGCGAAAGAGTGGAAGTATTACAAAAGCACATAAAACGTTAACAGGGAAAAAACCCAATCATATAGACGATACCGTGAAACAATCATAAACAATCAACGTGAAAAGTTCATTCAATTGCAGATAAGATTGAGTGACACCTTATTGCAAGCATCCAGACGTCTGCATAGCCATAACATGTTCTTGATCTTGTTTCTGACATGTCTGAAATATTCAAGTTAAAGAGGGCTGGGGCAAGAACTAATGCCTGTGGTAACTGGTACTTTAGTTTCATTGGGGAACTGATATTGGATCCCACGACGACTTATTCTATCATTAAGCACATTCTCTACCAGTCGCGTTGGAAGTTTGCATTGCATTGTGCGAAGAAACTTGTATATCATGCCCTCGCTCCAAACTGCGTCATAGCCTGCTAATAAATCAATAAATGAAGTTTTTTTAACAATCCTACATGTCTAATATTTGTTTCTAACTGGCTTTCTGATGAACTGTGCATCTTAAAACATAAAGAAATAATAAAAATAATTACTTAAGAAGTGGCTCTCCATCTTGAAGTCAAAATCCTCTTTTGCAGCAAAAAAAAATAATATTAATTAGTTATAACAGTGTAAATATTTTATTTTATAATTTGTGAATAAGCAATAAAACAGAGACAACTGTTTTAGTCTTACATTAATTACTTATACCTATTCCAGTAAATGACCGTTTTGGAATGTAATTTTCATCGTCACGACGCGCGACGGTTTTGCTTGAAAATTTGGATTTAGGTTCCTCTTACTCTCTACTTTACTTTTGGATTCCGGGTTGTTGTTACTTGGGGGTAAAAGCCACCCAGTCTCATTTCAAATGTATTTTTTATATATTTTTTAAGAGGGGCTGAAAATTTTTATTAACGAACAATTTCCCGACTCACTTCGAGAATAAAGCTCCTTTTCGAGCTATTTGCAATTTTTTATTAAAAAAATGCCTTAATTACTGATTTTTGTGATTTTTTTTTGTTAAACTACTAAATTAATTGCGATTCTATAAAAACTACAATCTTTAAACCTTCAAGTACAAGTAAGAATATTTTGACAAGGATAAATGGATTCTATCTTGCTCAAAGCATGGAACGAAATATTTCGAATATGCATTTCGAGTAATATATTGCTGTATATGATAATAAGCGTGTACGGTCGCGGTGATACCGCGGCGCTTAGAAATGTTTCTAGAAAGATAAAAACCACTTATCCTTGTCAAAATATTGTTACACGTGAAGGTTTAAAGATTATACAACTATTTGTAGAATTGTAATTCGTTTACTAGTTTTTTTAGAACAAAATCATAAAAATCACTAATTAGTGGATTTTTTTTTAACAAAAAACTGCAAATAACTCGAAAAGGAAGCTTTTTCTAAAAATTACCAAGAGAGAAAAAGTATTAAATTTGATGAGATATGTCTAGAAAAATGACTTGAATCGATTCGGGAAATTGTTAGTAATCATTTCCGGCCAACTTGGAAAAATTAAAAAATATATATATTTGAAATTGAAAATATATATAGAATCGAATAAAAGAGGTTAGGTTAGTTAGAAATGCAAAAAAAATTAGTCGTTATATTATGTTTCTAGATAGAATAAAACAATAGATATCAACATTAAACCACACTAATACTACTTGGAAGACAACTAATTTCTTTTTTTACCAAAATTATAAAATACAGGTTTTTTTTAATTATTAACTTACTGTGGTCACAGAATAATAAACAATCAGAATGCTCACTCTCAGATGCCGCCTTTGAAGTTTTTCAGCACGCGCGCCATGTTTTAGAAGGAAACACATAACACAGACATATGATTTGTGAGGTTATGTAATTGTTTATATTTATGTTTAATTATATTATATTTATGTTATTATATTTAACAATGATAATATAATTGTATAGTACAGTGGAACCTCGATTATCCGTCTCTCTATTAACCGTCACCTCTGTTAACCGCCAGGATCCATACATAAGTTATATTGACTATATAAGTAAAAATTTAGTAATCAATTATTTTGTTTGAGTATTGCGATAAGCCAAACTGCTGAAGGAATTGAAAAGTATGCTTCGCAAATAGAATCGTTGGATGGCCGGATGAAACATCGTAAGACAATGAAAAACGCCACAAATGAATCACTCGACACGGCGCTGTATTTGTGATTCGTTCAAAAAAGAAGTGAAGGCGTTCCGTTGTCTAGACTAATTGTTGCCGAAAAAGCGTGGTTTTTTAACATGAAATTGAATGGCGATCCTTCATTCAAAGGAAGCAGCGGTTGGTTGTAAAAGTTCAAAAATTGCCACGGCATACGGGAACTTAAAATCGAAGGCAAAAAATTGAGCCCCGCAAGTATTGAAGTTGTTGACGAATATAAAAGAAAGTTTCAAACTATGATCAATGAATATGGTTTGACACGCGTGTGTTCAATGTGAAAGAAACTGGTTTAAACTACACAGCATTACCAACGAAAACACTCGCTGCACTGTCTGAAAAATATGCACCAGGATTTAAAACGCAAAAGCAACGAATTACAGCAATGATGTATTCAAATGCAAGTGGTGACTATCG